CCAAAAAAAAAAAAAAAAAATCAAGTTGCAGGGAAATATGTATTATATAATCCAATTTTTATAAAAATAAATTTACATATGTCTATATACACAGACACATATACAATGTTTGTGTATACATAGAAAAAATTCTTGAAGGTTATATACCCAACAGCCAATTGGGTTGCTTCCAAGGAATAGTGCCCAGGAGGTTTTTCCTTTATACTTCTGCACTGCTTGATTTTTTTTTTTTTAATAAGTGTATAGTATTTTTGTAACAATAACGATTAACCGCTGCGTTGCTTTCAGGATTCTCTTCCCCAGAAAGGCCACAGGCTTCCTGAACATCTTGTCACTACATCCAAGTCCCTCTCCTGGGCTCACACCATACTCCTCACTGCCTCCCTGAATACATCTTGTGGTCCCCCACCCCACCTTCTCCTGTTCTGCCTGTTGGACTCTTCCCATCCATGCAAAGACAACTGCTGCCCCCTCCAGGAGGCCTATGAGAACTCTATTTACTTGGCTAGTCACATGTCTTGTTTCTCCTCGGTGACTGGGCTCAGTGAGGGGAGGGCTTGGCCTTCTTTGCCCCGGAACTCCTGGTACCCAGCCCAGAGCCTGGCCCAGAGCGGGCACCCAGTCCTGTTCACTGAGGGCTCTTTAAACCAATGTTTACTGTGCAGCTACTAAACCAATGTGCAGCTACTGCCTGGGCCAGATTCGCTTCTGTCTGGGATGTAGGCCTCTGACAGTGATGCGTGCTGCTCTGAGACTGCTCCTCCCAAGGCTACTTCTTCACAACATACTCCTGGAGGCTCTACCTTCTTCTCTCCATGATTTCACAATTTTCCCTGCCTGTTATGGACACCTTGACCCCTGGGGAGAATTCTGTCCTCACATTCCCTCTCTCCCAACTGGTTTTGGGGTCTAACACTGGTGGGAAATCAAAACTGGGTCCCCACACTAACTCTTCTCTCTCCTTTTCACATGACCAAGGAAACGACTCAGGGTGGAAAGGAAGTCATTTGGCCTGTCCTTTCCTTAGGTCAATGCTGCTTGTCTTTAAAGGTGCCTGTATTAGGAGAGAGCCCTGGACTAGGACTAGGCATACCTGGTTCTGCCCCTAAATGGCAGAGTGATCTTCAGAAGTCATTTCTTTGACTCTCAGTTTCTTTTTCTGTACAACGAGGATAATGAAACTGGCTCTGCCTGCCACCTCAGTTGCTGTGAGCATCAAAGGGAATAAAGGTTTTGCAAGTTTTACAGCATCTGGGTCATTGGTGGTGGCAGGCTCTTAATGGTCAGGTCCTGTTTGTAAATTCATACAGTCCTCCACACCCTGCTGCCCTGCAGGAGATGCCTGGGAGAGGTATTCAGAGGCTAAGGATTTCTCCTCTCCATACCCTCTGTTCCAGCCACACCATACCTTCCACTATTTCCTGAACTGCCTGGTAGCCTCCTGCCTCCATGCCTCTCTCTGCTTACCTGGTTTCTTCTGCTTAGAATGCCTTCTCCTGGCTGAAATTCTATCTCTATGTCAAGGCTCAGGCCTACCTCTAGCACAAAGCCTCCCTGCACTGTCCCAGATGTGCTCAATCTTTCTCCCTAAACCTTGTAGCATTGTTTGTATTATAATCACAGATCTAGTTATTATTCTTTCACCCAGGCTCCTGAATTCCTTGGTGACAGGGCTCTGACCTACTCGTCTTTGCAGCAGTCCTCCCTTACCCCTGACAGTGGTGGAAGTTCAGGAAATACTGATGCCTGGAAGGTGTTTTCTGCAGAGATTAGTGATCCACCTACAGGAGGTGCCAGGGAAAATTACTCAGTTTGGAGAGCAGCTCAGATCAAGCTGCCTAGCCTTATGCCAGCTGTCCTTCACCTCCTCTGTCCTGGTTTATCTCAGAACTTCTCTCTACACTAAGTGTCTACCCGACAGGCATAGTAGAGAGGCTTAATATCACCTGAACTCTGCTTAGAAAAAGCCAAATAAAAAGGAAAATGGAGTCATGTTTGAGTCTCAGCCTAAGCCCTACCTAACTACTTTCCTTTGCATCTGATCACATACAGAGCCAGTAGTGAGTTCTCTGCTTTTGGGGAAGGAAGGTGGCAGGCCTCAGCTACTGCTCAAGTTGGGTAGTGTTTTGAGAACCTCAGCTTCAGCAGTTTCAAAAGTGGCAGCTGCTTTGTGGGCCTGCCCTCTTTGGGCAAGACCGCTTCCACTTAGGTCCATCTTCAGGTCTGGGTTGGGGAGGAGCATCTGGGAGGTGCAGATTAAGAGGTTGTGGAGGAAGGGAGAGGGTGCCAGGAAGTGCGAAGCCATTGGTACAATGGGCTAGAGAGGGCTTAATATAGGGAAGAAGTGGGGCAGGGAAGGGGGAGGGGGAAGCAGGTGAAATGTGCTGGAGTCCTCCTAGGTATCCAATGGGACAGATGTTGAGGAAGGCCAGGGATGGAGTCTGGCCCAGTCTCACAAGAGGGGCCAACAGTGGCCCAGCAGGCAGGGCCAGTTTGGTGGGGGGATTGTCTTGGAGGCATGGGGAGAAAAGCTATATTAAGGTAGGGTCAAAGGCTGGGTAGGAAAAGGGTTACAGGTTAGGAACAAGGTCTGGGTTTTGACTAGGCCATGTCCAAGGTTGGATGGTAGGTAGAGAGAGGAAACCAGGAAAATAAGAAGTCCATGCCCGGTTGGAAAGTAGAGGCATCAAGATGCCAGATTCTGAGGAGCTAGCTGACTGGGATGGTTCCAGAAAGTGATGTGAAAAACTAGGGACTGAGAGAGCGCTGTTTTAGAGGCAGGGGCAAGGGCCAGGTGTGGGGGCACTAAGAGCACATAAGGTGCCATAGATTCCAGTGAGACAGGAGTCAGACTCTAGGGATGGGTCTGAATGGTAGAAAGGGCCCTGGGGTGGGCCGAGGCAGAGTTCCTAATCGGGGATGACAGGAAATTCTACCATTCAGTAAGTTGTGAGGACCAGTATCCATCAGGTACAGATGGGGCTGGTCTGCCTGGGCCCAACAGGCTCAGAACAATCAGTGCCCGAGTCGCAGTAGGGGACCGGCTGACAGCGTTCCCAGCCGCGGCATGATGCACAGGGAGGGAAGTGTCAGGGTCCGAGTCAGGAGCAGAAGCAAGTTCCTATCGGGGAAGGTGTCATACTCTGGTCGGGGGTCGGTGCCCAGATCCCGGGGCAGGAAACGCCAGCCCCGGAATGTGGGCCCGAGATAGAGGGAATGGCGATGATTAGGGCTGGGAAGATTCAGTGTCCGGGGAGAGGAGGTGTCTGTCCCGCCTAGGAAGGGCCCATGTCGGCCGTGTTCGGTATGGGGGTGGAAAGTGCCCGGTTCTCCCGCTGACCCTACCTTGCCGCGGGCGCAGCGTACGGAGCGCAGGGCGCCGAAGAAGATGGGCAGCAGCGCCATGAGCAGGAGGCTGCCGTAGGCCAGCGCGATGCCCTCGGGAGTGGAAGGCG